TAACCTGTGGATAGTAGGATTATAGATGGTTTATCTATTCTTTTATGAAACTTTTATATTCCAAACTCTTTACAATATGTCTGAATGATTTCTGTGAGCAGAAATAGATTTAAAGTAAATATTTATGAAAAAACAAACCACTTTCAGCTTGTAGTTTGAGTGCCTTTCTCCATCTTGGAAACCAGGGCTCCCTGTGGTCTAAGACCCTTAGATACAGTTTTGAGGGTTGGGCCATCATAGTCTTCTTCATTATAAATCACAAATTCACAAGGAGACAAATTGTTCCAGAGGTAAAAGACTCTCTTGTCATGTCAAGTAACTCCACAGGTCTAAGCCTCAGTTTCCTTATCTGTAAAGTGGGAGAATGGCTACTGTGCTGTTTTATATCACAACAATAGTATGAAGGAGGAAAGAAAGGAGGGGGATACTGTTGGCAGTTTTGAAAGGAGCACAGGTGATTTAAAGGGGGGGGGAGATACCAGTGGCAGTTATACCTGAGATCTGACAGCAAATTATGTTAACAGTATGAACCTTGCTATCTGTTTTCATTCCAATAGTTTATATGCTGGTAGGACTAGTAATTGTATTGTTAATATTATTGTGGCTATATTTTTTTGTTTCCTCATTTTTCATTTTTTAAAATTGACAAAAATTACGTTATCTTTACAACCTGGTGTTCTGAAATATGTCTATGTGGTGGAATGGCTGAATCAAGCTAATTAACATATGTGTTGCCTCACAATCTTATCATTTCTTTTTGTGAGAACCTTTAAAATCCACTGTCAGCAATTTTCAAATATACAATACATTGTTATTAACTGTAGTCAACATGTGGTACATTAGATCTCTTGAACTTCTTCCTCCTAACTGAAATTTTGTATCCTTTGACCAATGTCTCCCCAGTTCATGCTCTGCAGTCCTTGTGGCTACAAGATTTTTTTTTTAAACAGTGGGTCTTCCCTTTTGGAATTATCATAGCTCCAATTTCAGTTTCAATCAGTCCTGTTGAACATTGACCAGTAATATGCCAGAAAAAACCACCAGAGGACGCTAGATCACTTAGTCACCACCTGGCTTCTCCACAGCAGAATCACAAAGATTTGTAAGAAAATTGAACCTGAGTCCAGGCCAGAGACAAATAAAGTCAGGTACACAATAATCGTGATGCTGGGCCGACAGTTAGGTAAATAACCTTTTATGAGTTTCTTGGCCTTTAATTACTTTGATTTTTAGTTTGTATGTTTATGTACTTCATTTCACTTCTTTTAAGTCAATTGGGATTGTTCAGATTAGAATACTTAAGAAACTTGAAAGCCCTGGTTGGCTTTGAAAGCTGCCATAGACTCATGTGCACTTGGTAAAGAGGCTTCCCTCCTCCCTGGGAAGCTTTTAAATGTATTCGGAGACAAAATAAGTGGCTCATATTGTTTTTCGAACAGTGAAGTTTCTACTTTTGTTTTGGCTTTCTGTTCCCGTACAATAGTGCTCAATTCCCAGTCTGCAGACACACCCACGGTAGGTAAAGATGCACTGAGGCTATTTGTAGATGCTTCTCTGTACTTTCCCATTTCCCAGGCCATCCAGGGAGTGGCAAGACAATGAGTGGGCCTGGGTGACAGAGGTCAGGAGTCCATTTAGGCTCTGCTGTGCCCTGGAGTCTGTCCATAGACTGGCTGTCTGTGGAACCCTCTGGGCTGTAGAAGATGACAGGGGTGACTGCATGACCTTGCCTCTGTCCTCATCTCAAGTTCAGAGGCTTGTTGGATGCAGACAGCAAATTGGAGATAGAGGGTCCCAGTGTACTCATTTTCTGCAGTGCACAATGCAGGCACACTCGAGTACTGGTGTGGGAGTTGGAAGATCTGATTTGTTTTTCCAGTGTTGGGTGTCGTAGACATTACAGTCAAGATCTGTATAATATTTTCTTTCTCATTCTTACACACAACCCTTTGAAGTAGACAGAGTAGTGCCTGTTTTATTCTGGTTTTACACATGAGGGAACACAATGAATGAATGATACCTAAGTTTCCTTTTAAGATCAAAGTTCCAGCCTGTCTTGGCAGAGCCTTTTCCTAAATTGGCAAGGTCAGGTGCAGAAGTTTGTGGACGATGTGGTAGTGGCTGGAGAGAGCTGGCAGAGGCCTGATGGCATCTATTTCTGGCGGATTGTGGCACTCTCTTTCAGTACTTACAGTCAAGCCATTCAGGGAAGTGGCGAGGGACTAGAGATTGCAGGGATGGAAGGATATGGACTTGACAGTGAGTTAAATCACCGTCAAAACCCCACTAAACTGGGGTTTAACACTGATGTTGCTAAAAACTTCAGTCAGCAAAGGCAGGGATGATGAAGAGAGCAGAAAGAGCTGGTACCTCCTCTGCCTTCATCACCCTCTGGAAGGATGCTGAGACAATGAAGGTGGTGATGGAGGAGAAACATAGCATATGTTGGGGACTTTGCAGTTGAGGGCTAAAAGGCACAGCCGCCAGGGATCTGGGCTGTACGGGTTGTCTGGAAAGTCAAGTTTAGTTTTGTGGAGGAGGGAATTCATTCTGAGGGTTTCCTACCCCACTGGGGAGAGTCCAGTCTGCTCTTTTTATGTTATGGGTGTTTTGTCTTACAATTTCAAATCTTGGGCATGATTTAAGGACAGTCCTTAACTCGCTCACAAAGGAAGCTAAGTACAGCCTTTTAGAAGACTAATAAATAAGGGAACCTCAATGCCACAGTCACCTTGCACCTCAAGATGCAAGCCTTCTAAAGCCAATTCTCCCAACTCCATGCTGGAGAGGACCCAGGACCGTTGTGTGTGGGGGGCTGACGTGACAGAGTGGCCACTGAACTGAATGCACTAGGGTTGAGGTGTCATCAGATGAGATCCTCTGTTAGCTCTTTAGCCACTTCCACATCATTTGCAAACTTCTGCACCATGTTCAGAAAATCTGGCACCTGGCCTTGCCCATTTAGGAAAAGGCTCTGCAGAGACAGGATGGAACTTCAGATGACATAAAGAGGGAGACTGAGACAATTTCACTTTCTGGAAAATACTATCTGCAGTTCTCTTTTACTGCTTTTGGGGTACCAATACTCAAGGACTCTTACCTGGGTCCATTTTCCCCTTTGACTTTGGCCTTAACTCTTTTTTAATAAATGTGTATACTGAGCCCAGTGAATATACTCTGAATCAATCAGGTGAAGCTTCAGCCTCTGCAGGGCTTGTCCTCTGACCCTCTTTCTTCCCTGCAACTAAGACCTCTAAGGGTAAGGGAAGGGCAGACCTCTATTCAGGCAGAGAAAGCCTATGCAGTTAAGGATGCTAACTTGGACCAACTTACCACAGGATGAGCAGGAAGGAACCTGAGAATTCCAATTAGGCTTAAACTAATGAGCTGGAAACTTTGGGGGAAATCACTGTGGGCAACCAGGGGATCATCTTCGTTTTAATTAGTGCTGGAAAAACTTGTGGTCCAGCTGGTAGCTGGAGGAAGGGTGTATCCAGAGGGAGCAAGTTTCTGAGCCCATCAGAAGGGGGATTCCTAAGGTGGCATGGGGATGTGTGTGTGTGTGTGTGTGTGTGTGTGTGTGAGCTGTCGAACAAACCTGGCCCTCTTTATTTTTTAAGGGGGGGGAGGAGAGAACCCCAAATATAGAAAAGCAGACTGAATGAAGCCTGAAGTATACTTCTCCAGCTACACTCCTCTCATCACTGAAGTCTGAGACTAGATGAAGGAGTGGGGAAAAATGACCCTTTAAGATTCCCTGATGTCCACTGGGGCCCTTACCTTGCTGGAGGCCAGGTCTCTTCTACCATCTCTTGCTGCTCTCTTAGGCAGCCTTTGTTGCTTAATATGGAAAAGGGAGAAAAACCACCTGCTGCTGTCAGAGGCCACAGACCACCCGCCAGCCTACCAGATGGCTCTGCCCTTCAGCTATACCAGGGGCACTGGCAGGCCTAGGAAACACCGCAAGAAGCGAACTACGGGTCTTAGGTGTATCCTAAAGTATCCTCACTCTCCAAATCGGAGCATCTTGGGGCATTCCACTGGTGGAATTGAGTTGACAGCTGCCCACTCCTCCCCTCCCAACCCGGACTCCTTTGGGGAAAACAGCCTGCCCGAGTCCTTCCCTGCGCAGCACATTGGAGATAGTTGCCTCGGTCCCGCGCCTAGGTCAGGGACACTACACCCTGCGCGTTGCGGGGCGGAGGGTAAGGGGCGCGTGCCCGGCCATCACCGAGGGGCCTGTCTGCCCCTACCCGGCCCGAAGCTGTGGTGAGCCAGCTCGGCGAGCCTCCTCCCCTCCCGCTTCTGGCGGCCTGAGCCCGCGCCCGCTCCAGTTGCTGCAGCTGCCACTGCTGCGCGGGGTGCGCGCCGAAAGACTCGGGCGGCGAGGACGGGGACGAAGAGGAGCCGGAGGAGGAGAGGAGAAGAGAGAGCGGAGGCCAGGGAGGCTTAGATGCGACTTAGGGGTCCCGCGAGCATGGGCTAGCAAGCGGCGGCAGCTCGGCGGCCGGACGCAGTGAACCTGCCGCGGCCCGGCGCGCACAGGGGCGGCGATCGGGAGCCGAGCGCAGCCGGGGGAGGCGAGCTAGCGCGGAGGCGTCCGGGCGGAGGGGACAGATTCTACATTATTAACGAGTTGCTGCCTAATAAACCTAGAGCGGCTCGTTAGTGGCGCGGGAGGCGCGCGGGGAAGGGAGGGTCCCTGGCCAGAGCGCAGCGCACACACTCGGCGCACGGCGGGAGGCGCGGCGCAGAGGGCACCCGGGCCCAAGCGTGGAGCTGGGGCGGGCCCGGGGGGTGGTGCAGACCCTGGGCGCGGGCGGCCCGCGGCGCCCCTGGCTCTCGGCGCTCGGGGCCAGCGCAGCCCCGGGCGAGCGGGGCGCGGGCCGGGGAGGGGGAGCCGCCCGCCCGCACCATCCCCTCCCCCCGAGAGGGCCGGCGGCCGGGGGGGAGGGCGGGCGGCGGCTGCTGGCTGTATATATCTCCGCGCACCCCGCCAGGTCGCGCACAGCGCCCCGAGCCCAGGCGCCTCCCCGCCCCCTTTCCGCGCTCCGCGGCGGCGGCGGCAGCAGTAGCAGCAACATGGCTGTTGATGGGTGTTCGGGGTGGCGCTGGCGGCGGGAGGAGCTCCCCCGAGCCCCTGCGCCGGCCGCCCGTTGCTAGCTATGGCAAATGGTGGCGGCGGCGGCGGCGGCAGCAGCGGCGGCGGCGGCGGCGGAGGCAGCGGTCTTAGAATGAGTAGCAATATCCACGCGAACCATCTCAGCCTAGACGCGTCCTCCTCCTCCTCTTCCTCCTCCTCTTCTTCCTCCTCCTCCTCTTCCTCCTCGTCCTCGGTCCACGAGCCCAAGATGGATGCGCTCATCATCCCGGTGACCATGGAGGTGCCGTGCGACAGCCGGGGCCAACGCATGTGGTGGGCTTTCCTGGCCTCCTCCATGGTGACTTTCTTCGGGGGCCTCTTCATCATCTTGCTCTGGCGGACGCTCAAGTACCTGTGGACCGTTTGCTGTCACTGCGGGGGCAAGACGAAGGTAAAGCGCGCCCGGGGCGCCCGCCCCCTGCGCCAGCCCCACCGCTTCTCGGCGTCCCTAGCAGCCCACCTCCTCGCTCCGCTCCGCGCGGTTCCTCCCTGCATCCCTGGCCGCCTTCCCCTGGCCGCCTTCCCCTCCCTTCTCTCTCCCTGCGCGCTAGGATTCGGGTAGCGGGTGGCTAGTCGGAGGGTGAGGAGTTGCCCCCAACTGGTGCGCTTCTGGACGCGGACGCGGCGTCCTGTCCCCTTGTTTATTGTAGGGTTGTCGGCACCTGCGGGCGGGCCAGGGTGTGGGACAGGCACCTCTTGGGTTGCCGTGGTGCGGGGCGAGGAGAGCCAACCTCGCGGGGACCGAGGAAGCTGGGGCCGCTGGGTGCGTGCTCCGAACCGCTCACCTGCCACCGTTTGGGTCCTTGAGGTGGGCGAGAGGAGCACATAAACCCGCACTTTAGGAGCCTGTTAGGGAGATGAGTTCGTGGGGTCCGAAAGAAGGAAAGGTCCTTGGGAGAAAATTTTTTTGCGCGAGAGAATCCCGGGGTAGGAACGTGGCCAAAGAAAGTGGGGTAATTTGGAGGGGGGCGAGAGAAAGTTGGGGAGATCCATACCAGAATTGGAAACAACCCATGGGGCTGCCACTTTAGGAACGTGGCGAGGTTGCAAATCTGATGTCACCTCCCACTTCATCCCTTAGATTTCTTTTTCACAGAACATTCCCCCACCCAGGTTCTGCTGCCTCTGTACTTTCGCCCCCATGCCACCCACTTTGGGTCCCCGGAAACGCCACCAGCAGCGCTGAGCTGGAGCTTGCCTAAGAGAGTACGCGGAGGCCGCGGCTTCACGGGGGAACCCCTTCCTTGGCGCTTGAGGTGCCTGGATGTCTCCATAAGCGATTCCTAGCGCAGACGCCCATCAGCACCCAGGCTCACTACACCTTAGATACATGCTTAGATATATGGCTTCTGAACTGACTTCCTGGTCTGTGGCCTGACCCTAGAGGTGTTCCTGCCTGCCACCTGCCACTAGCTGGAGGGTGGGGGACTGGGACAGTATTTGTTAGAAAGCCACAGAATAAAAAAGAAAAACCTGGAAAAGAAGTACCAAGCTGCCTTTTTTTTTTTTTTTTTTTTTGTAATTCCTATCAAAGAGGACTTCACAGCACTCACAGTTGTGGAGGGAGGGGATATCTATGGGGAGTAGAGCAAGGTAGGCAGACATCTGGCTCCCCAAACGTTCACAGCTTTCCTAGTAAAGTTAATCCTAGTACCCCTCAAACTTCACAGGGCACAGCAACTTGTAGCAGCCTCCTAGGTGATAAGGGAAGGAGGAAGGCAGAGGCTGGGGGCGGGGTGGGGAGACTGTAAAACCCAAGGGCGAATTGAAGCGCGCTGTCGGGGGTCATTAATTATACATCATGTTAGGTGCTGGAGCTCAGCTGTGTTTTGTGGCAGCACACTTGTGTTTTGGAAAATACTGGTGTGTTGGAATAAGGGAGAAAAAGTAGAACCATCCTTCGCTGCCTTCTCTTCTCAGTGCTCTGGAAGCCTTCAGATTTTGGCTGGCCAGCTTCGTGGAGTTATCTTGTTGGTGTTGGAGGCTCCCTTCTCTGTGAAGGAGGAAGCCTCAGATTAAGGAAGGTTCTAAACACAGGTCTTCCTAGCCGGCCTCTGCCTCTTAACAACAGTTTATTCATCCAGCCTTCTTACTCAATTCCCTTTCCTTCACCTACCCACAGGCTTCAGTCCTGGGAATTTTCCCCTTCCTGAGATCCAGCAACTGTCCTTAGGGGAAAGATGGCTCAGAGTTGCATGCATTTAAAATATTCTCTAGATGGAGTGATTTGTGTGAACTTTAAAAAAATCGCCTGTTTTTCAGGAAGTGGGCAATTTTGATCATAATGAAAACTTTTTTCAATGAGTTAAAAATAAGATGTGGTGGTTTTGTGATCCTGAGGCTTTCAAACACAGCTTCAAAAGTCTTTTTACAAGGAGGCAAATAAATACTACTGCTCATCAGATAGTCCACAAAAAAGAAAGAATCTTTTTCCTAAATGATGACCAAGCATAGCTTCAGTCAGTTTTCACAAGAAAATAGGTTTTTGGCAATGAACATTAGAAAAAAAACCCAAAAAACAAATAGTACATATTTGGCTCTATTTTGTAGCTCCAAGACTAGCTGAGTAGACATAGCTGGAAGTTTCTATAAGAAATCAACCTAGGATAAGAGATGGTTGTGTTTGATTTGGAAAGATGTGTGGCCAATGTAGAATAAGATCAAATTATTTTCCATATCATGAGTCCATTTTGAAATATGCTCAGATCTCTTAATACCTGCCCCTTGATTTGTTCAATTAAACCATGTATGTGGCCAGCTCACTATATATAAGTCGGGCCTTTTATAAGCTTTGCTTTCTACCCTTGAGATCTTGCAATCTGATTTTTTGTCCCTTGTACTTTTCACTTTTCAAATATTTGGTAGATTTGTTGAGACTTGTTGCAGAAGAAAGTATTTGACTCAAGTTTAGAACAATTATTTTAGTGCTAGCCTTTCCAAACCAATCTTCGCTGCCTTTCCACAGAGTTCCACCCATCCTCAGGCATGTTCAGTGACCCTCACCCTCATCCGGGACCCATGGTGGTTTGAGCAGGAGCTGGAGTCCTGGGGAAGGCAGGAGTTTTCAGCATCTGAAATTCTGAGGGAAAGAAGTTTCAGCAAGGTGTTCTAGAATTACATGCATTTGATCTTTGGGACTGAAAGATCCTTTTTGATCAAAGGAACCCAAGATTGTGGACAAGCGTCATGCAGCCTCTACTCATTATTATTTTTGGCTTCCAAACAGTACCTAGTCAATGACTTAGGTATTTTGAAAAGAATGGAATGTGGACATTTTTAGGAGGTAAAGAACAAAACTTAATCACATTTTCCCTCTGTTGGAACATGGGCCCAATTATTCCAGTACTGGGTTCTTCACTAAAATTTTTCACATTATTAGTTTCTTTTTTCATTTTTGGATTTCATCAGCGTTCTCTAGTCATTTGGCCATGACTTTGAAGAAGTGATTTAACTTCTGGTCTCTTCTCTCTTTTCTTGTGCGGGTTGAAATCTGTGAGTTGTAATGTCCCTTCCTGCTCTGGGATTCCCCATAGGAGAGTGGAAGGAACAGGCGTTATGGGTAAAGTTTCTACTTCAGTAAGGTTTGCAGTTTCCCAGCAATCCCTTTAGGAATTTAGCGTCAGACTACAGATGTGTCTCTATTCCCTTCTTCTGTTTATCTTCTAACATATAGTCTACTTCTCTTTAAAATGTCTGAGGAAACTGAGTCAGCTTCCTGATGGAGCCTTAGTTTGCTGTAGGGCCTGCATGTGGCTAAGCATAGACTCACTGCTCTCCTCAGTTTGAGCTGTTGTCCTGTAGAAGCTTAGGCTTGATCAAGGATGGCTTGTGTGCAATGAATTATTGAGGTGTTGTCTCCATGGCTGTGTCTGAGAAAACAACACATTTTCTCTGTCAGGCTCATGACTAATATAAATATCAGATCCCATTACGGCTGGGTAATTACCCAGGGTCTGGCCTGGCACATTCAATCAGGGCTGTGGCTTCAGCACCTTGGAACTCTTGATTCCAGATTGGTCCTAGTGCCTCATCTCATCCTATCCCAGGGATCAGCTATACTAATGACCTTCGCAAACTCCTTTGTTGGATCAGATCACTTGGGGTAGCCTGGGAGAAGTTCTCAGGTCCTAGTCACGGGGGAGCTTGGCTGACCTGCCCTTGTCCAGAGAGCTTGCGCTTCTCATTACTGGGTCTTTTGCTGGAAGTGCACCCTTTAGTACACAACAGACTGCAGTCCACAGACCCAAGCTAAATGGTGTATCTCACACTCATGACCAGGGCACTTTTGGCTAGCAATCAGAGCAAGTCTTGATTTTCTCGCCTGTCAGAGGAACATAATGATGGTTACTTTATAGAATCCTTATAAGGACTGGCAATAATGGATGTGTGGCACCCATAGCAGGCTTCTTGAAAGTGGGAACTACCATAGCTTCACAAATTTTGGAGCTTATTTTCTCTGGTTTGTTGAACTGTGGCCCCTGGAGAGCACAGACTAGAACAAAGAGCATTTTTGAGCCAAAAGGAGCCAGCCTCTAGGCTCTGAAGCTATGAGGCAAATAACTAGTCCAGTCAGACTAAGCTTTGAGCTCCTGGTTTTTGGCTGCTGCAAGGTGGGGTGATTGGGACAGATGGGGTAGCCAAGGAAGGCTCTGTGGACAAGGGCCTCATAGGATGGGATGGTTGATGTGTTGATGGTAGGGATGTTGGTGGTTAGGCATTGGTGGTATGGGGATGCCAGAGCTTTAGGGCTGGCAGAAGGTGGCTCCTACAATGTGCCCTTGAGGAGGGACAAATTCTCACCCTGTTATCCCAAAACTGGAGCTCTTAGATCTGCTTCTCCAAATCCTTCCACCCTCTGTGATAGAGCAGTCTCCTGGCCCGGATGTGCTGTACCAAGTCCAGCTTTTCCATGAAATCCTCTAGAGCAGGGGGTCCCAAAATGTGTCCTGTGGTTCATTTGCTGCCCTTGAGGTTACCTTGAACAAAATTGGGCTGTGTTGCCTCTTTGGAGGATCACATCGCAGGTTTGGAGAAGTCAAGCTGGGAGGGAAATTGGCTGAACAGTTCTTCCTTTGAGAAGCCTTGCCCAGGTGTCAAGTCTGCTGTGCAGTAGCCGAGAGTCAACCATGACCTTGGACAGGGACTTCAGTGCTTTGTTCCTCAGTTTCCTTATTTCCTAATTGGGGGTTATATTTTTAGTGGCACTGAGGTTTGAACTCAGGGTCTCATGCTTGCTAGGCAGATGGTCTACCACTTGAGCCACTCCACCAGCTAAATTGGGGATTATAACAGAGCACTGCCCTCTGGGGTAGATACTCTCTCTAACCCCACTGCATAGTATTTCCCAGGAAGACACTGGAGCCCATACTTCCTTTTGCAAGCCTTGGACTG